GGGGGACTGGAGTTCGTGACAGTCAGCCGCTCGGAAACGGCAGAAGAGCCACGGAGACACAACTGGACACCGCTCCTGACCCCAGGGGCCTCAGGGGAAAGAGGAGGTGTTTCTCCTTCTCGTGGGGAGACAGGAGCTCTTCATTTCACCAAACATCCTGGAGCTGCAGGTGCTCCATGGAAAAACACTGGCACGCCTTGCATTTTCCCTCCGTCTGGATGCGCGACAGGGTGCCTGGAGGTCCAACCCCGCTCCCCCGTGGCAGCGGCGAGAGGCCAACAAAGGCAGGCAAACACCAGAGAATTACACCCCGGTCTACACTTCCCATGTCCCCTCCACAGCCTCTCCGCCTCGGAGGACAGGGGTCTGCTTCCCAGGGGCTGCGGAAGGTCACCCGCCCCAGCGGGAACCAAACAAGCGGGCCGCCCTCTCAGGGGTCTTCTCAAAAGGGGGCATCCTGGGCTCTGAACAAAGAAAACAGCGATGCTACAGGACTGTCCTCAGACACTAACCACAAATCCTCCACAGACAGCACAGGAGCCCTACCCCCTGTCCCGTACCGCACTCGGGGTACTAACTAAGTGGCCCCCACCGTGGGCTCGGCCATGCTCCGAAGGTCCGTGGGCTCTTCTGGAACTGTAAGATAAGATTCGTGGTACAAGCTCTGTGGCTTGGATCCCAACCAAATCTGTACAAAATGACGAAAAAATGAAGTTTTTAAGAGAAACCAAGCTCGGTGGATTGCGATATTTTCAGAAACTACTTTTTAAGAAAAACCCACCCTCCCCCCAGTCATGCACGCTGAAACGTCAAAAAGTGAGCTAATGAGAGAAGAGCAACAGTCATAGCACTTCCTGAGAAAAGCTCTCAAGAAACTACACGAAGGCACCGCACTTCCTGCGTCCCCGGCGGCAGGCGGCCCTTCCTGACTAGCGCAAGACCCGAGCCCGAGAAAGGGAAGTGAGTGTGAATTCCCGCAGGTTACAAAAGACCAACGGCCCTCTGCACTCCCACCACAAGTCCGGCGTGAGAGGCTGCGGCTGCCAGCACTTGGCTACGTGCTGACCAGCTAGAGGACTGTCCTCTGGACTTGCCCAAAAGGAAGTCGCTCACATCCAGGGGCCAGAAATCCCACGGAACCCACGACACGGTGTGGTCGGTCGGTGAGAGCACCAGACACAGCGCAAGTGCCTGTCGAGAACCAATCACACGTTCAACTAATCCAAAGGCTCGGACGGGCCTGACTTCCCGGCAGCCTCGAAAAGAACTCGTTTACGTGAATCAGATCACGTGTTCCCAAGTGGACGATCTATCCAAACGCTTTGATCCAGGCTCCCTGCTAACTCTCTAGGGGCACACAGCTGACTGACCCAGCCTAATGCACGTCCCCAGCCGCAGTGTGCTGGGGGACAGTCACGGCTAACGTGAACTCAACAAAGCTACAATTTAAAAGTCTGTCCGCTAATTCCCTGCAGGATCAAGTTTGAATTATTTGGGGGAAATTACGCTCTAAGTATCCCCCTCCCACCCATTCCATTACTGTAAATAAACCAAGAGCAGGCTCTACTAAACCCTAACAAGTAAGGAGCATTACCAAGTTTAAAGAAAAAGTGATTTCTGGAAATCTGGTGGTCCCTCAGAGTAGAAGATACTAACAAGCTGAACCGGAGGGTGCTGACCTGCCGTTACAACGGAAGACAATCTCACTGAAAGGACAGCCTTCTGGGGGGCGCCTGGGCGGCTCAGTCAGTTGGGCATGCAACTTCAGCTCAGGTCATGATCTCACGGTTCGTGGGTTCGAGCCCCAGGCCGGGCTCTGTGCTGACAGCTCTGAGCCTGGAGCCTGCTTCGGACTCTGTGTCTCCCTCTCTCTCTCTCTGACCCTCCCTCGCCTGGTGCTCTGTCTCTGTCTCTCTCTCAAAAATAAATGTTAAAAAAAATTAAGGAAGGAAGAAAAAGAAAGAAAGAAAAGAAAAAGAACAAACGAACAGCCTTCTGGGTCTCTGTTTCCCTCTAACTCACGTTTGGAGCCCCCTCACCACTCCTCATACTCACACCTACCCACACACCTAGAAGAGAGAAAACAGGACTTGAGTCTCAAAAATAAAGCCCTTTCTGCACATATAGCTCAAACTGAAAATCATTTGTTTGGTGTTTTTTTAGAGAAGGAGGCCACAAAGAAAATATTTCCTCGCATGGCAGGCAAGCTCGAGATTAGGAACCAGCGCCCCCCTGACACCTTTCCCACTGAGGTTCGTCTACTCCAAATAACAAGTCGATTCTGTGTAGCCTGATGACTCCAAACTATCTGGTGTCGGCTGCCCCTCCTGAGCTCCGGATCTGTCAGAACACCTCCACCTGGACGTGCCTGGATACTAGTGAACCTGCCCCGAGGTCACCTTATCATCACCCCCAAACCCAGTCCCCTTTCTTACCCCCTGTTTTGGTGAAGCGTGCCTCCATTCACGCAGTCACCCAAGTCAAACACACGACCTACCCCCCAGGCACTCCCCCTACGCCTCCCCCACCAGAGCGGATGCTGCCTTCCACTCCCCACCACCTCAGGCCCAGACCACTCTGAAAGGAAACTATAAGAAATCTCAGAGCTTGCCTCCCTGGGTCTCAGCCCAGAGGATGTTTGTTCCTAGCTCCTCTCTCCACCTCCCTTCCCTACTCAGCGCCCCCAGTCAGCTCCTGGAAATGACTTGAGAACTGCCTTCCGCCTCTGCTGCTACAATCAGCAGCCCACATCATTCAGGATCCTTCCCTGAACACCACCAGCTCCCCCTTCTCTCCCTAGCCTGCTCCTATACTCCAAAACGCAGCTCTGAGATCACAGCCACCAGGAAGCCTTCTGTGACCTCCTGGTGTGCCTCTTAGGTGCAGCCGTGACCTTCTACCTTACTCTACTATTTCTTCTGTTATGGGTCTGAGCACCTTGAAGGTGGGGCTATGTCTTTACCTGTCTTCCTAGGCACCTACGCACAGCAGAGCAGTGCTCTACACCTGCATGCTGAATAAACGAATGAACCCAACAGTCCAAAGCAATAATGAGTCAGATGCCTGCTCAAGAGAAAAACAGTATTTCTAGATCACTAATTGGAAGTAATTTTAAGTAGCATTCTCTGTCACTGTGGCTGTCTCTGTAACTAACAAGGAAACCTCTGCAAGGAAAGAACCCTCCTTCCCCCCCCACCCCCCGCCCCGCGTGTTAGCCACGAGGATTCACCAGGCACTCCAACAGTTGAGTCAGACTGGCAGAGCTAAAATCTGAAAAAGTCTAAGCTCATGACTACACAGAACTATTATCAATGAATCAACGACCAGAGTTACAAGAAACCACATCATTCGGGGAATGAGGCGTTGCGAGGTACAACCGTACGATTGGAGGAGAAACGAAAGTCAGCAGCCAATAGAGGATGAGTGGCCACACAAGACCAGAGAAACCCCAACACCAAGGCCACAAAGAGTCCGGGAAAATCTGCAAACCCGTAAGGCAGTAAGGCAAGAAGAAATAAAAAAGGGTCAGAAAGCTACAGTGTTGTCACAACACTGGTCGCAGCACTTATCGGCAGTCAGTCCTAGTGGCATTTTTCCCCTAAGGATTATAAAACACAAATTTCAGACACTGGTGTTTCTTTGGCTTAAGTGAGTTTCTGGTTTAACTGTTGACCCAGAGATACAACTCCCTCTCTCCGCTTAATCAAAAAGAAATACAGTGCCACACCTCCTGCCTCCATTTACAAAAAGGACTTTGGGAAGTCAGTTTAGACTCTCCCCACTGCCACACTCTCCACCACCCCCCCCACACACACACACACAAATCACTCAAGAGAAATGTCTTTTTCAAAAGAATTTGTTAATAGTCAATTCCAATGCTAAACAGGAATTAACAATGAAGTGTTCTTCCTAGAGTTTAAACATATACAGGGAAATTACAAAACTGCCTGAACACCTCATCTTTGAGGAGAGCACATTTCTTGAAACTTTAAACCAAATTTCCCAGTGGTTTGATGCCGAGATGTGGAAGTCATCTGACTTCACTACCCACTGCAATGGCCAGGTCTTGGCCAAACACCAAGTACAGAAAACGCTGAGGCCACCTCTGCCCTGCCCCCGCCGGTTTCACTGATATGAAACTTAAAGCCATTCTGATCAGCAGGCTTCTAAGGGCTCAATATAGCCCCGATGCTATCACCTAAAAGTTACCCTGAATCAAACTCGATTTTTTACTGAAAATCATCCACCGTAACCCAGGATGAAGCAGGCTGCTTCCCATACCTAGAAACAGCACGCATGACTGGACCACAGATCTGTGCACGGAAACTCAGGAGGTCTCATCCTCACCCAAGTAGCACAGATAAAATCTAAGACAACGCAAACCCTACTAAGGCATTTACGTCTAAGATCTTTTTCTTTTTCTTTTTTTTTTTTTTTTCTTTTAAAGGACCAAAGGGGGCGCCTGGGTGGCTCAGTGGGTTGAGCCTACTGACTTGGGCTCAGGTCATGATCTTGTGGTTCGTGAGTTTGAGCCCCACGTCGGGCTCTGTGTGGACAGCTCAGAGCCTGGAGCCTGTTTCGGATTCTGTGTCTCCCTCTCTCTCTGCCCCTCCCCGGCTCGGGCTCTGTCTCTCTCTCGCTGTCAAAAATAAATAAACATTAAAAAAAAAAAAAATTTAAAGGATCAAGGGTAAGACTTGAGTGTCTCTGATAAGAAAACCATTTGCACACAAGAAGTCTTTTTTTTTTTTTTTCTTTTTACATTAGCACTAACAGCAGGCCTCTTGGGTCAGCATGTTCTAGGCAAATGTTGACTCTGAAAGCCCACTGCCTGAACAAACCGCTTCAAAGCCTCCCTCGCCATTTACATAAGTCACTTCAGTACTTTTCCAGAACACGGGCCCTTTGAAAAGTGTGAAGGGGGTGGGGGGGGTCGAGTGGTTCCTCTTCCCTGGCCTTAGAGTCACTGACTCAGGATTGCTTCACAGCCCTCTCGGGCAGGATGTGAGAAGCGCTGCACGAACACAATCCCGGCTGAGCTGATTCACTCCGGCCGAGCCACCCCGCGGCCAGGACCACGTAAGGAAAAGACCCCCTCCGCACCCAAGCGGCGTCTCTCGCCACCAGACCCCGCCACGCCAGCCGCCGGGGCCCGGGGCGCCCGAGCTCGGCCCCCCGCGTGAGCGCGCACTCCCGGCGCGGAGGGAGGCAGGGCTGCGGCCGCGACCCCGCCACGGC